CAAGAAGACTTTCCTTGGCAAAAGCTTCCTCCGGAACGCCAAATTTTATCATTTAGAACTGCGTGAACTCACGTCCGCATTACTACGTAACGTATATCGCATTACTTGTTTTTAAAATTTCATTTATTGTTTCTGAATGTTATCACTGTACTCGTGCGATTTTTCAATTTCCAGTCCATTATGTTGACAAAAAATTTGAATTATTTATTGATAAATTTATGGTAATCCCATTCGGTGATTGTTCGAGTTTATTTGCCCGTGGCTATTGAATGAATGATTTGATAAATAATTGTGGTCACGGTGGTATCATTATTCTCAGAGTCGTGGCTGAATTCATAATGCTAAATAGCCGTGAGCGCAAGGGTCTAATGGGCCAGCTCGTAATTTACGTTGATTAGTTGGTTTCTGCTTGAGCAAAATGGGTTGAACTGAACGAATTGAAAAAGGTGGCTGTGTGGTGTGCCTCACTGAGATAAGCTTGATATTTAATCCCGGCCATGTTTTCCTGGAGGTCTTTCCCATTCGAGATTCGCTAATCCCGCGACGTTCAGCAATTTATTTTTCATAAAGAAAAACTAATGAAGATATGACTGAAACGAGATTGATTACCACGAAAAATAAAAAAAAAAAATTACCTATAAATTTTATCCATTAGTCGCATAAACCGACATTACCATTGACATTAGCATTTATTGATATGTTATTGTTCCGCTCATACAATAACGTGAAAATTGTGAAAATCGATGTAACTCAGGATAGAGTATAGGAAAATCCAATTTCCAAGATGAACACCATGAGAAGTGTCAAGATCCGCTTTCACCGCGTATTCCCATTTCCTCTTCTCCCACTCAAGGATTCTGCTTTCAATCGGCTCATGATATATAGGTAGGGACCTGCACACCACTTGTGCCTCCGATGCGCATGTCGATCACTTCCGACCTAGATTTCAGTGGACAATCGGGGTAAAAACAATGCGATATATCCAACCTTCATTTCCGGTTTGTTGTTCAATGTGGAGACAGAGTCAATAATGGTTTTTTTTTTCTCTCCGAATGCAACATAAGAGCTTCATTACGTAATTAATAGAGAAATCCAGATTAAACATTTTATCACTTCGACTCGAAAATTACGGCGAAGATTGCCCCAATATTTTTACCGAGGATCCATTTATTTCACTGGATTATGTTGCTCTCAAAACTTCAATTCTATTATTGCAATTCACTGCAGGATGGAACAGAAAGTGTGAGCGCTATAATTTTCATTTCCTTGAGAATGCAATTAAAGCAATGAGTACATATTTGTGATTGCGAGTGGTTTTGTGAGGTGAAGGAAAACTTCTGGAATAACTGTTAATTGTTCTGCGGCAGTCTCTACCGGCTGTACTCTTTCTCGTCGGTGACTTGTCACTGAAATCAAGTAGTAGCGCACACCGTCTAGTCAGGCGTCACTCCCTTTTCATCATGAACACATGGAAAAAGCTAATCAAGGAAATTGTGAAATTAACAACGTAAACAGCTTGGCCTGAATATTTTAAAATATTATGAGTAATTAAAACCGTGGTGTAATGAGACATTTTCTCTTATTACGAATTTATAAAAGATTACGAATGATCGCGATTGGAAAATTAAGTGGCTATACAAATTTTGCCTGGAAAACGTGTGCCCACCAGAACACCACCCAGAAACGAGGAAAATCCCCGCTATCGCTTACAACCCCAGTAGAATTTCTAATGAATGGAAGATCGAGTGAGTATAGCGATAACGGATCAAACTATGGTAGTATTTCCGGTAAACCGACGTGGAGAGAGGAAATCGTGAACAACGAAACTCATAGAGCAGATGGTACTACCGACTATCTCTGGAAATGGGGCGATAAGAGTGGAAGAGAAAGGCCACGGGAGAAAGTGCACGGAAATTTTCAGTATGGGTTCACCAGTCATTTATGGAAATCTTTGCCCAAGTCCCCGCAGGTGTGCATTGAGAAAAAAAATTAATGGTAAATGTGTGAATATTTCCACGGAAAAAAACAACACTCAATGATTATTATTATTATTATTATAGATTATTCGTGTAAATGATTGATCGATATTTTTCGCTCGGTATATAAACTTTTACTCATTTCTACTCAGTGCAAAAAAAATGCGATTGGTAAATAGCAAACATAACAATGCAATGAATCACCCAAATACAAGTGGATTGTTCTCTAAAAGCTAGATTTTTTTATTTCCCCAGCGTCCATATCATTCGCCAGTTCTTTTGTCGAAATCGACAATTTGATTAATTTTTTTGCCGCGGAATGTGTCAACCATTGACGATATTTGTTCGAAAGTGATAATTGAAAAACCCCAATGCTTTCATACCCTGAAAGCATTCGAAGTTGCCGGAGTGACGAGAAATAGTACAATTGGGCTTTCATCGGATAATATCAGTTGAAATATTGGAATAGTCAGTGAGAGATTATGCATGACGGAGTAAAAAGGGTAACAAAAGACAGGTGATGTGAGGCGGCCCACCAAGGACTCGTGAATCCTGAGGAAACTTAGGTCGTATGGGTTTTTAGAGAGTAGAAGGGGTTATACGAGCTAACCAGAAGGATCGTCAAGGTGCTTTTAGCACTGTGCAATGGAACACGCTAGTGCTAGAACCCCAGACATTGCACAGTGGCGCACACTAGATTCCAACTAACCAACACAACTCGACCCTTGTACACTGTAACCACACCGCAACTTAACACTCTCGGGTGCTACCAAGGACCTACATTCAAAATTTTATGTCTATATACTACCGCCATCACTCTATATCACTGCCGCATATATACTCACACCCCACTCCATAAATACATTGAAAAATATTTACACACCAGAATTTCTGGGAAACCGTGGACGTTTGATTATTATCCAATGACTCACAAATTATGAGATTTTTGCAAAAGTTTATGGAGAACGTGGAACAATTGTTTTATATCCATGAAAGGTCGTTGAGACATTGAATAATTGTAAAATTTCAAAAGGGTGCATTTTTTCATGTGAATTTTTTTCGGCTTTGGTTTCTATTTTATTTCTGCTGCCTTCCTTTTCTACGTTGTTGAGCTTTCAGGCAACCGACTGTGTGAACTGTGCACCATAGCACTCCGAATGGATTTAAAAGTAACCAACGGTTGCTGGAGAAAGACGAAGTGTGGAGTAGGGATACCAAAACGGGAAAAGTTTCGGTCCTCTCTACCAGTAAAACTTTGGTCTTAGGGACGGCAAACGGCTTTCCGACCCCTAACTCTCCAGTCTCGTTTATCTATATCTGGTACTCAAAACCCACCACGAGCAGTCGGAGAACAAATAGAGAAGTGAGAACCGTGCCGTTTATATTCCAAACGGGTTTGTGACTTTGTGGTTGATACGCGTGAACAAGCATTATTATACTAAACGATACGATTGAAAACCATTCAAAGTCGTGCAGATACCATGAGAAATCGTGAAAGAGAAATTTCATCGAAGGGCGGGTAAAAGAAAATTGTAATCGGAACAGTTTTTCCAAATTTTCAAAAAATTTTCGGAAAACTTTTCAGAAAATTTTTCTCTTCAAACCAAAAAAAAATCGAGACAAAAAAAATCAGGATCCAAAATAATTGTATTTCTGGGAAATGTTTTGAAATATTTTGCAAAACTTTTCCGAAAAAAAAATGATTTGTTTTTCAACTTTTTTTTTGTTTCATAAAAAAAATTTCTGAAAAGTTTTCCAGAAATTTTTTGAAAATTTGAAAAAAATATTCCGATTACAATTTTTTTTACCCGGGAATATATGACAATTTATTCATAAAAACAAGTCGACTGAAATTATGGCTGTAAAATTTATACAGCTGTTTTCACGCATGTCCACCAATTACGATGAAGCGATGAGTTTGTTGAACCTGTAACTTTTTGAATTACATTTCCCCAGGTCGAATTTTTACCGAGAATTTTTTCAAGGTGTACTTTTAAAATTACTGTATAAGTGGTTCCGGTGAAGTTATGAATATAGTATAAGCGGTTCCAGTAAAGTTGGAACCCTGAGGTACGATCGAACATCATCTGCCCCATGAAGAGGAGAGGTCCAGCAAACACACCTGCCTCGTATCTCAGGGCTCTCGAGGTTTTCCCCTGCGACGGAATAAAGTTGTTTTGCTGTTACAAGACGTGTATCAAATACTTCAACAGCTTCCCCGAGATTTGCATGGGAGCGTGACACCGATAGATCTTAGACCAGATGGTGGAGTGCCGTTGAAATGCGGTACGGATATACCTGGCAAAATGCGCCTCAACCGCAGTTACACCACCTACGTCCACCACCCACCCCCAACCTC